ATGAGAGAGAAACATCGATCAGCTGCCTCCTGCACACCCCACACCAGGGATGTGCCCACAACCAATGTACATGCCTTTGACTGGAATCCAACCTGGGACCCTTCAGTCCGCAGGCTGACGCTCTATCCACTGAGCCAAACCGGTTTCGGCTATGCCAAAAGTTTTGTATAATTTTGTATGCAATTATTCAACAAAGAAATTCATGTGATTTTTTAAGTTGATATACATTCCACACAAAAATTCATACTTTCTGATTGGTGTTTCAAGATTCTTAGGATATATACCAAGAAGTGGAATTGCTGGGTCAAAAGGCAATTCTATTTTTAACTTTTTGAGGAAATTCCATACTGTTCTCCACAGTGGCTGCACCAGTCTGCATTCCCACCAGCAGTGCACGAGGGTTCCCTTTCTCCACATCCTCGCCAGCACTTGTTGGTTGATTTATTGACAGTAGGTATTCTGACAGGTGTGGGGTGATACCTCATTGTAGTTTTAATTTATATTTCTCTGATGATTAGTGAAGCTGAGCATATTTTCATATGTCTACAGTACGTCCTCTTTGGAGAAGTGTCTATTTAGGTCCTTTGCCCATTCCCCCCCCCCGCCCCCCGGGCAATTTATTCCATGTCATGCAGACACTGACCCACACGCTCAGGCGGTTAAAAATAATACATTGAACCACACGCGTCTCTCCCCCACATCCCTGGAGACACAGAAGACATTTGGCTGAGTGGGTGGGTCCGAGGGTCCAAGCCTCCGTCCTGGGACCAGGCAGCGGGTGGCCCCGGTTTGATGTGGGTCCAGGTGGTGGGACAGGTCCTTTCTGCCCAAGAAAAGTGCAGAGACAGGGCCGAGGTCCAGGCAGGAGGCCCCACCTTCACAGCGACGGGCAGCAGGCAGGCCGGGGGCAGGGTCCTTCTGATCCTTCCTGAGGGCCCGGCCGCCAGGCTGTCCACGTTCTCGGAGGGCGAGGGAGCCGAGGTGCCACTGGCTCGCTGGGCATGCTGGGCTGGTGGCACCCTGGAATCGGGCACCTGGTGCTCAGTCCTGGGCCTCATCCGACCACCACTTCTGAGTGTGGTCCTTGTGTGCATTGGGGAGGATCTGGTTGCGCATCTCCCTCGAGAAGGTTGGACGTGGCCTCCGTGGCCAGGATGAGGGGCCTCACCGCCGTTGGGGGCAACTGGCGGATCACACTGCCCACAGCCCCCGTCAGCCCCTTCTGCTCGTGACCACGCGTCGCCACGTCACAGAAGGTCTGAGCCGAACGGTGTCGTAGGCCTTGGCCACGCCCTCCCGGAGGTCAGCTGGTTGCTGGCCCTTGGGCCTTCGCATCGCGCGCTTGTCCTGCAGGGAGCGGGTGATGGGGGCCGCTGGGGACAGGATGTCATACACCGTCTTGGCTGTGGCCTGGATGGCCTGCACCAGCCGGTTACTAAGTTCCAGGCCTTTGCCCATTTTTTAATTGGTTTGTTTGTATGTTTTTTTTGGTGTTGAGTCTTATAAGTTCTTTATATATTTTTTGGATATCAACCCCTTATCAGATGTATCATTGGCAAACCTCACACACATTTAAAAAATACTCCCCAAGCCAAAGCCGGTTTGGCTCAGTGGAAGAGCGTCGGCCTGGGGACTGAAGGGTCCTGGGTTCGATTCCGGTCAAGGGCATGTACATGGGTTGCGGGCACATCCCCGGTGGGGGGTGTGCAGGAGGCAACTGGTTGATGTTTCTCTCTCATTGATGTTTCTAACTCTCTATCCCTCTCCCTTCCTCTCTGTGAAAAGTCAATAAAATATATTTTAAAAAAAAATACTCCCCAAGCAATCCTGCTGGAGTATTGGTTGTAGATTGGCATGTGGGAAACAGGCACCTCGATGGTGTGTGGAGCTGGGTGAGGCCTGAGATGGGAATGTGAGGGGAAAATACCTTTGGCCAATCCTCAGTGTCTCAAATTAGGGAATATTGACACTTTACTTGGATTTTCTTGATCTAGTAGCAGTGGTAACAGGTGAGATCTCCAGACTCTTCCTGTATGTTCTCAGCTGAAGGGGACTTCCTGGATTTAAAAAGTACAGCTTCTATTGTCCTAGCTGGTTTGGCTCAGTGGATAGAGCATCGATCTGTGGACTGAAGGGTCCTAGGTTCGATTCCGGCCAAGGGCATGTACCTGAGTCGCAGGCTTGATCCTCAGGAAGAGGTGTGCAGGAGGCAGCCAATCAGTGATTCTCTCTCATCATTGATGTTTCTATCCCTCCCTCTCTAAAATAAATAAAATATATATATTTAAAGTACAGATTCTATTGGGAGGCTCATAGAAACCACTCTGGGGTGGCTCACAGGGAAGTGAATCAAGCATTCCTAGAGGTTCTCTCCCAATGAGGTCATGAAGCTGAGGCTGAGGCAAGACTCCCATGTCCTTGCTTTGCGTTTTAGCCACAAGGTGGAGCTCAGTCTCTGATGAGTTTGTTTTCATCAGCCCTGGACACACCGAAGCCAGTCCGCCTGGAGTGTTTGTGACGCTGCCTTTGACCAGTCTGCTCCCTGTCCTACTAAGTGCAAATGTAGAGAATTGCAGTGTCCACATAAATGGGTTGCTCTGCTTCAGGCAGCCTGAAGCTCGGAAGCCCTCCTGGTATTAAGGAAAAAGGAGTTAAATTTGATGGAACTCTTTTTTTTTTTTTTTTAAAAACAGAAACTTTTAAAAATATATATATATATATTTTATTGATTTTTTTCAGAGAGGAAGAGAGAGGGATAGAGACTTAGAAACATCCATGAGAGAGAATCATCGATCAGCTGCCTCCTGCATACCCCCAACCGGGGATGTGCCCCAAACCAAGGTACATACCCTTGACTGGAATCGAACCTGGGAACCTTCAGTCTGCAGGCTGAAGCTCTATCCACTGAGCCAAACCAGTCAGGGCAGGAGAGTTATTATTTAGTTCTCCAATCTAGAGGATGTACGTCATCCTTTATGGCTGTTGGCTTTGCCCTCTTGAATTTCTTGTTTCTTATTTTCTGTGGGCCACATCTTAGGTGGGTTTTTAGGGGTGACATGAAGGAAAGGGAAAGAGTGACTGAGTAAAGCAGTGCATGAGTGAAGGATGTTTAAAAATTAAATTGATTGGGTAACAGGTTAATAACATAAATTTCAGGTACACAGTTCTATAACACAGCCTTTGTATATTGCCTTGTGTGTCCACTATCCAAAGTGTAATCTCCTGGGTGAAGGATTTTTTTTATAAGAAGACTACCTAACACAAATTTTGAATACTTTTTTTTTTACCAATAAATCAGAAAAATATTTTACACAAAGGGCAATATGTGAGTGATTATTTGAAGAAAGCAAGAAAAGAGACTCAGTACCATTATGGATTGATTTATTTCAAAACACAACCATCAGTCAATAGCCAGAGTACTTTATTAGAAATAGAAAGTCAAAATCTGAGGCAGTCATAAAAACAAACAGAATGAGGATTTGTAAAAATTGTGGGCATGGGGATAAGAATTCACTGGACATGGCTCAATTCAAGACATGAGTGTGGAGATAATTTAAATTGGACATAAAGATTCTCACTTGACACCTGCATGATACTGTTTATTGCTTCATTAATACAATAACTACATATTAAGTACCTATCACATATCAGGTACTATTTTACATGTTGGGCATCATGATTCATTAGAGAACAGTACAGACCAGATTCCTGCCCTCAAGAGAGCTTATATTCTTATTACGTAAAGGAGGCCATACCAAGTACTGTAAATAGTTATACTGCTTTGCCGAAACCGGTTTGGCTCAGTGGATAGAACATTGGCCTGCGGACTGAAGGGTCCCAGGTTCGATTCCGGTCAAATAGTTATACTGCTTCATGCCAATACATTTGATAGTTTGTATGAAATGCTAACTTTCTTAAAAGACACAGTTGATTAATTCTGACAGGAACAGAAAAATCTGGAGATTCTAACCACTATTCAAGTAATATATCCTGTTATTAAAAAGCCTTCTCATAAAGAAAACCCAAAACCCAACTGGCTTCACTGGTAAATTTCTCTAAACATTTATAAACATAGAACACCAGAGAAAAGAATCGGGAATCACTTCCCAGCTCTTTCCAGGAGGCCATTATCAGTTGATGTAAAATCTGTGTTAGTAATGACACAGACATTAGAGGGAAGCAAAAGAACAGACCTATCTTCACATAAACATAAATGCAGAATTCCAAACCAGTCAAGTAAGATTGATTAGAAATATATAAAATACCTCATGAGCAACTCTGGCTTATTCTAGGAATACAAGGGTACTTTAACATTCAAAAATGAATATAATCGTTGAGCCAGCGAAGCTCAGTGGTTGAGCGTCGACCTATGAGGCAGGAGGTTATGGTTTGATTCCCAGTCAGGGCACATGCCTGGGTTGTGGGCTCAATCCCCAGTCAATGATTCTCATTGATGTTTCTTACCTCTCTCTCCCTTCCTCTCTGAAATCAATAAGAATATAATAAAAAATGAATACAATGTATGATGTAAATGAAAGGAAAATATAACATGATCATCTTAACATATTCAGAAATGCATTTGATACAATGCAGTAGCGATTCATGATTTGAAAAGGAAGAAACTCTTATAAGCTGGGTATAGAAGAAGTATTCTGTAGTCTGATAAGAAAAGCTTACAAAACAGCCATAGCAAACATCTTACTATAATAAATGGTGAAATACCAAAGTTGTCCCCTTAATATACTCTCTCGTCTAAGCTTTATAGATTCCCCATCCTTCTTTTCCCACCTCCACTGACCCCGGGGTATATGCGTTAGTGCCAAAGCCAGAAATGACAGAAATAAGACCCGTAAGTCCATTTCTTCCCACCAATCTGAGGGCACCAAAGTAGTTTTCATGATGAGTGTGGCTCATTGTGATCCAAGGTAACCTGAACCTGGAATCAGGATCAGGGGAGGAACAGGCAGAGCTTGAAAATGCCTCCCCTCCCCCCCATCCCCTCACATGGCCTGTAACTCAGCCTCTATAGGAGGCGAAGCAGATTTGTTGGTTGTATCACTGGCTGGGGCCGAGTCCTCGGTCATGGCCCTCTCCAGGCTGGCAGGCAGAGAGTGGATCAGTGTCCTTCGGAAGTCTTGGCCAATGAAGACATAGAGCATTGGGTTGAGGCAGCTGTTGAAGAAGGCCAAGGCTTCCAGTAGGCTAGTCAGGATATCAAGGGCTTTGTACATTCTTCCGAGCAATATCTCTCTGATCCAAACTGTGTGCAGAAGGGCCACCAGTTGAAAGGGGAACCAACAAACAAAGAAGGAAACCACAACAGCGGTGAGAACCTTTGAGGAACGGCTGGAGTTAATCATGCCTTTTTTATAGAGCTTGATAGCAATGAGCCCGTAGCAGATGGCGACGATGGACATTGGCATAGTGAAGCCAATGACAAACCGGATGACCCCTCTAGCTGTCATCACAGTGGAGACCACCTTCAGCAACTTTTGAGGGGTGTCAGCCCATGGTGCAAAGTTGAAAGCACAGTACACATTCCCTATTGGATCATTTACTATCGTCACGAAGATGAAAATTTGCGAGGTGAGGATGAGTGCAAGAATCCAGGGCACAAGGACCAGTTTTGTAGCCAGACTTACGGTGCGGTGGTTGTGGGCCCAGACGGGGTGCAAGACACAAATACAGCGGTCCAGAGCAATGAAAGCAATGAGGAAGACGCTCCCAAACAAGTTAATGTCCACTACTGTGTAAATCAACTTGCACAGGAACCAGCCAAAAGGCCATTGCTTTTTCATGATACTTGACACCATGAGGAATGGCAGAGTGGTCAGGAAAGAGAAATCCGCTATGGCCAGATTCAGGTAACACAAGGTGGTGACCGTGCGTGCCATCCGGAATCCAGCCACCCAGATCACAAGCCCATTGCCCAGGATGCCAAGAACAAAGGTGATCCCTTGAATCACCCATAAGACAATGTGCAGAGCAGTGTAGCCAGTAGATTCATGGAGCATCTCATTGGATCTATTCAGAGAGATGGAGAAGTTGGCGTCCATCTTGCCTGCACCTGAAACATTTTAACAATGGGAATTTATCAGCTGTGAAAACATCAGACCAACATCAACCTTCACTAGAGCTTCCTCTCCAAACTGGATACCCGCTCTCCTGAACCTTGTGGCTAGTCACTATAAATTTGGCAGACTCTTAGCTGTTCCTTTGGGAAAGGACACTTCTCCAAGTTCCCATAATTACTAGTATGCGTTCTATCACGTAGGCTGATTACTTAACTAAGAGTGTTACCAGGCCCCTGTCCATCAGCGGAAGTGAAGGCTTAAACTGGTGACATTAAATGTTTGAAACGTCCATTCAGAAAGAAATAGAACCTGCATTTGAGCTCAGGCAGATGGCTTCCACCAGAAATGTGCTCTTAACTTTATTCCATCTCATATTCCTTAAATAGGCTGTTTCTTTCTACCCACCCATTCAGCGCCTCACAGTTCATCCAGGGGCTATAATGTGCCCAATGATGTCTAAACATTGGTTTAAAATATGCTGGCACAACAGGGATGGTGCAATGGTAAGTGGGGAAAGGTCATTGAGGTAAAGTTGTGAAATGATGAGCCCACTCCATAAGGGTGGAGGAGAGCCTTGATCCACAGATGGTGCACAGATGGATTATGATGGCCGCTATTTGGTGACTCCTAAAAGGTGTCATTCACAGTACAGTTTATCAACTCCTGTGAAGCCATCCTTGCTTTTGATAAATATCATCATCCATGGTCCTGGCAGAAGAAGTGGCCTTTTCAGCGTCTAAATTATTAAGGGTAACTGGATTTATGACCACAGATTTTGTAAGTTTCCTATTAGTTTACTCTATTTCTTCATCATGTTCCCATTTTAATACTTTGAAATAATTGTTTCAGTTCTGCTTTCTCCTAGAACTTCTGATTCCCGCTCTACCTAATGCCCTTGCCTTATATTTTAATAAGACTATGCTAGTAATTATTTATGAACTTTTAAAAAATATATATATTTTATTGATTTTTTTTTTTTTTTTTTTTTTTTTTTACAGAGAGGAAGAGAGAGGGATAGAGAGTTAGAAACATCGATGAGAGAGAGTCATCAATCAGCTGCCTCTTGCACACCCCCTACTTGGGATGTGCCCGCAACCAAGGTACATGCCCTTGACCTGAATTGAACCTGGGACCCTTCAGTCCGCAGGCTGACGCTCTATCCACTGAGCCACACCGGTTTTGGCTACTTATGAACTTTTTAGCCTTCTCTCAAGCAATCTACCTGCATCGGTAATCTACTTGCATCTGTCTTAGTGAATAGAGTTCTTAGTCATTCCAGTTCATGTTGTGGGTAAATCAAGAGTTCTTGTTCATTCCCTCCTCAAGTTTGCTCTGGATCCCTCTCTTTGTCTCACCTTTCCAAAAATTACCCTCCAGCAGTATCACTGTTCTTTTCTGCCAAAGCATCGCCAAGATTTTCTTTCTACTAAATCATCATAGGACACAAACACGGTCATATCCCCTTCCTTCACAAAGCAACCGCCTTTGGCCCATGTTCTTTCCAGCTTCGGCCCTGTGCTCTCAAGAAAATTCTTTCAGTGAATTTTGTCACCTCAGCTTTTCTCTTAAACTTCTGAAAACTGACTTAGGTCCTGAGAACTCCATAGACTGTGATTTCCATAAGAAGGCCTACGGCCTCCATGTCACTGCTCCAGTGGTGCCTTCTCAGTTCTTTTTTTTTAAATGGTAGAATTTATTTATTTATTTTTTATAATATATTTTATTGATTTTACACAGAGAGGAATTGAGAGGGACAGAGAGTTAGAAACGTCGATGAGAGAGAAACATCAACCAGCTGCCTCTTGCACACCCCCCACTGGGGATGTGCCTGCAACCAAGGTACATGCCCTTGACCGGAATCGAACCCGGGACCTTTCAGTCCACAGGCCGACGCTCTATCCACTGAGCCAAACCGGTTCCGGCGCCTTCTCAGTTCTTATCCTGATATCTCAGTGATGTAGGATACCATAAATCCTTTCCTCCTTAAACCACGTTTCCATATGCCTTTAGATGATAAAATGTACCTATAACACACTCCTGGTTGTCTTTATATTATAGCTCAATAGACTGACTCACCTCAGACCAATTTACTAGCTTTATTTTTTAAAATATTTTTTTATTGATTTCAGAAAGGAAGGGAGAGGGGAAGAGAGAGATAGAAACATCAATGATAAGAGAGGATCATTGATCAGCTGCCTCCTGCACACTCCCTACTGAGTATTGAGCCCACAACCCAGGCATGTGCCCTTGACTGGAATCAAACCTGGGACCCTTCACACTGTAGGCCAATGCTCTATCCACTGAGCCAAACCAGCTAGATAAACTTTCAATTTATTAGCTTTTTCTCCTTCCAAACCTCACATTGCCTAGATCAAACTCTTAGTTCTTCCATCCTCCCAAATCTGTCCCTCTTAATATTCGGTCTTTATTTGGAACGTAAGCACTCAGTTGTTAAATTTCTACCTGTAAATCTGACACATCCTTGAATCCCCTTTCTATGACCATCCCATCTAAGTCAATCAATTCTATCTACAAAGTAACTGGAACAATTTTTATCACCATTAACTTTGTCCATAGACTTTGTCTGGTTGCATATTTGCACTAACCTTCCAAATAGCTTATTCTTGCTTCTGATGCTGCCTCCTCCCCCTACCCCAAACCATTCTCTCTCTACATATAAGCCAAATGATCATTTATAAACACAAATCATACCATGACATTATTCTGCTCAACACCCTCCAATGGCTTTTAAACACCTATCTCAAGCTTACCAAGTTCTCCTGGATCTGGGCTGTGTATGCCTCAGACCTCACACACCTATATCATCTCATACAGTGTTAGGGATTCACACTGAATTCCTTTGATTTCTTGAACATGCCACACTTACTGCCATATCAGAGCTTTCGCATCCTCTCTTCCTTCTGCCTACTTTGCCCTTCCATTCAAGCTTCTTGCATCTGGCTATTTCTGAATATTGCTATCTCAGCTTAGATATTCTATTCTCAGAGAGGTCCCACCTGATGCACAGTGCAAACCAGCTATCCCAGGAACAGAAATACATTTTAATAATATATTTCATTTTACTCAACACATAGAGACTATCATTTGAGCATAACCAATCTGAGAATTTTCCATGAGACATTTTGTCTTCCTTTTTCAGACTAAGTCTTTGAGTATATGAAATTCATTTTTGACTGCAGCTCATCTCAGGTCAGGCTAGCAAGAACTCAATAGTTATTTGTGGCAAGTGGATTCTTACTGGGCAGTCTAGAGCTCAGGAGGTATCTGCCACATAACAAGTGCTCTCATAACAATGTTTAAATTCTCAGGCTTGGAACTTACCACCAGCTGCGACCCGTTCCTGTGGCCAGTTCCTGTCTTCTTGTGCAGTAACTCAGGCAGGAGGGCTTCAGCAGCTGCTTTATTGGAAAACTAGGGGGCGGGACAATGGGGCTCAACCCATCAGCTGACAGGGAACTCAGAGCTTCTTGCAATTTCCGTAAAACACTCTGGATATGGTGTCAGCTTATTCTTTTCAGAACCTTAGTGTCTGAATATTCCCCTCTCGTTCCACCTGCTGTGGGAGACAGGAGTTCAGTGCTCTAAATATCAAGGGCCAAATGTATAGTAAATTTATATTTACTATAAGTATCTTGTAGTAAAGAAGATGAGAACAGGCAAGTTAAAGATGTTTTGTATCCTGGCCCTTTCTTTTTCAGAGATTCAGGGAAATGAAAGAAAGAATTGCTGATGTGAGAAGAATTGAAGGCAAGCAATAAAACACAGTCATTGGCTTAAAAAACAAAACTTGTTTCTTCACTCAAACAACACTTCAGACATCAGAGGTGTGGGTTAGTTCTGTACTGAAACGTTCTCCAGTTCTCTGTGGACCTGACCTGGGTGTTCTACAGTCTAACTTAGTCTGACTCTGTCTGGAATTAGGGCCAGATCCTGCAAGGTACAGGGCTCAGTGCTATAAGGCTACCCCACTTCAGGTGCCATTTGGGAGTCCCAGGTTGCCAACTGTACTTTAGATGGACCAGCTGTAAATCAGGGGTCCCCATAGTCCCCCTCCTTAGGTACGATGGTTTGCTAAGATGACTCACAGAACTCAGGAAGGAATTTACTGGTACTTGTTTAGCAATTCATTATTAAGAACACAACTCAGAACCGCCAAATTGAAGAGATGCATTGGGCAAGGTATGGGGGATGTGTGTGCACATAGTTTCCAAGTTCTCTCTGGGGCATTATCCTCCCAATGCCTTGGTGTGTTCAACTACCTAGATGCTCATCAAGTCCTATGGTTCAAGAGTTTTTATGGAGCTCAATATCCTGCATCTTCCCAGCTATTGATTCCAGAAGTCAGTGTGTTGAGCTGAAATTTAATCACTTGGTCCTACTGAGGCTACCTAGGGGTCCACCCTAACATACCTCATTAGCACAAATTCTGGTGTGACCCAAAGGGACTCCTCATGATAAAAAGACAGTTCTAGCCCTAGATGGGTTGGCTAAATAGATAGAGCATTGGCCCTTGGACTAAAAGGTCCCAGGTTCCATTTTGGCCAAGGGCCTGTACCTCAGTTGCAGGCTCTATCCCTGGCCCTGGTTGGAGTGGATGTGGGAGGCAACCATTCAATCTCTCTCTATCTCCTTCTCTCTTTCTCTTTCTCCCTTCCACTCTCTAAAACCCCTCAGGAGAGGATTAACAAAACAAATAAACAAAATTAACATAAGCATGCAGGAAACTTAAAAAAATTGATAAAAGACTCCTTTATCATTTAGGAAATTACAAGTGTTTAGATGCCAGTTGTAAGAACCAGGGACTAACACTAACATATTTTTTTACATTTGAATATTTATTTTGAGTTCACCTTTGCCAATGCATCAGCATGTTCTGTTACACATTAGATGACAACGTGTGAGTGATTATTTGTGGAAACCAAGAAAAAGGCTGACAACTACTGTAGATTGATTCATTTCAA